TCTTATAATAATAATCCGATTCCTCTCTCATTTCGCGCCGTTTCTTCAAGTTTATTCGATTCCCACGGCAGATTTCGATGCGAGATATTCTAAAACGCATGTAGAATATGGTAGCTTTATCTTTTCGCGTGTTATAAATTCTCGCTCCCGGCTCTTTCCTAGCTAGGCCAGTGATTATTATTCCTCGGCCAGGCCAGGCGCCTCTCCGAGATCGCCGTGATATATACATATTATTCGATGCGTGCGAGCGAGCGAGCGGGCGAGCGTTAAGCGATAACATCCTAATCTTCTAATCCGCCTCGTTTGTCCCACGAGTGAGAAGCGGAACTCATTGTCGCCACTTGTCGTAGATCGTAGAACGGGTCAAGGGTAAACGCGACTCGGGGGAGCGAATAAGCCTCGCGTGTAGGCAGGGGATTCTAGGAGGCAGTGATGGGTAAGATACATTTCAAATGTATCTCGATACAGACACACAAATTCAAATGTATATATAGATCAGGGTTGGTAAAAACCGGCAAAAACTGGCATTTTTTGAAAACGATGTTTTCAATAAATATAAATGGTAAAAATTGTAAATTTTGCTTGTTAGTATTTTGTGTTTTATTTTTCATTAGACCAAAAATTAATATGAATTTTAGTAATGCCTTCAAAGTTTTAAAAAAATGTAGTTCATATATTAATTAATTAATTTGAATAAAAGAGGACTATATTTCTCTCGTTTTTTTAATCATAGTGATTAATTGAAACATATATTTTTTTATAAAGTTATATAAATATATTTTATGTAATATTATTTTTGCCAGTTTATTTATTCCATGGATAAAACCGGAATTTTCTACCACGGTTTTTTCCACCCACTTTTCTGGCCAACCTTGATATAGATACAGATACTCAGATACTTTAAGAGTATCTCAGATACATATCAGATACTTTTAAATTAAATTTTATCATAATAATGGTAATATATACAAAATGTATTATGAATAATTCTTTCATCTTTATTAATATGTTGGTTTATATTACGACTTTATTCGTTAGTCTTAACACGTGAAAAATGCCTCGATATGTTGATAACTTGCAGTCTTGATCTTTTAAAAATTTAAAGAATTGGGCTATTCAAAAAAATATGTGAAAATGTATCTGAAAAAAGCAATTCTCAGAAAAAGAGCAGACTCAGATACACAAAATGTATCTAAATGCTACCCAACACTGCTAGGAAGGGACAAAATTCTCCCGATAAGATTCGCGCGCGATTTATTCGCGCAGATAATGTCATCTCTCGTCCGGTTACAATTCGGAGAGGATCTCTTTCTTTCTTTTTTTTCGATACCCGCTTATCGGCTCGTTTGTATCTGCCTTGTAATCCTTGTTCCTCGATTACGTCATATCTCGCGCGATGGAATTACAGCGAAGATTACATCACGGGTGTTTCTCTCTTGTGTGGACAGGAGGGATTCTCTTCTGCAAGTCGGATTTTCAATGATTTCGTCCGTGAGAGAAGTCGCAGAAATTTTTAGAAAATTCTTGTTTTGAAAAATGTATAGATGTGTTACTATAATAAGTTTGTCTTATTTTTATTTTTCTAGCAAATGTCATTTTCTCCATCATTATAATTGTAGAAATTTCCATATTTTTTTAATACTTGCTTATATAATTTGGCACACGGTTTATTTAAGAAGTTTTTACCAGGAAGAATATAATATCCTTATCAAGTTTTGTAAAATTCTTGTTTTGAAAAATGTGTAGATATATCTTTTTTATATACATTAATAATGGATTTGTCTTATCGTAATTAATTTTTATTTTTCTAACAAATGTCATTTTCTTCATCATTGTAATTGTAGAAATTTCCATAATCTTTTAATATAATCCTTATATAATTCCTTCCTTATATAATTAGCACACGGTTTATTCAATCAAAAAGTTTTTACCAGGAAGAATATCCTTATCTTTTCCTTCCTGTCTAATGAGAGCGAAGAAGCAAAAGAGAAGCCGTTAAACCATAAAGTTAACCATTTAAATCATTCATAACGTTGATTATACTTCAAATACGCACAAGTATCATCTACACAGTGCGCTATAGAATTCTCAATTGGGGCCTCATTTTTTCATCAAATTAATCTGTCATTGAGAAATGTTCATTTTTTTTTTTTTTTTTTTTTTTTAAATAAAAAGTCATTAAAAAGGCTTTACAGGATCAATCGATGCAATAAACGCAATGTAATTCACACACTCCCTGTATATACATCGTAGTTATTATTTTCGATGACGATTCGTTTATACGGGACACAATATACGAGAAATTACAATTTACAAAATCATAATGCGACTGTGTATCGTGCTTGATTAAAGTCTTTTCTCGATGGATGCAGCTCGTTTCAAGCCTCGGTATTTCTTCTTCGTCCGGAGTAGTTTCGTGGTCGCGCCTTTCTCTCTCTCTTTCGAAAGACAGAGAGACGAGAGAGAGAGGGAAGAATAAGAAAAAACGAGATATCGAGAAGACGAGACGAGAGAGCGAGCGACGTTTGAACGCCCACGCGTGCCGTCTTAATTACGCTCTCGACCGGCCGGTTTTACGATTATGCCGCCTCGAAGAGCCTCGAAGAACCTAACCCGAAGAGCCGTTCGCGTCGGTGCCCGGCTCCTTTTATGGGCCGCGTTAAAAAGTAATTAGGACAGAAAGGCGGCGCGGGAACCGCGATGTCAACGATAACTTTAATGACTATTGTAGAAACGCGCGCGGCTGATAGAATGATAAAGACAGTTCTGGAAGCCGCGATTACGCTAGGGAAGGTCACTTTTTGTCGTCCAGTATTATCGCGCCATTCCGAAACTTGTAAATTGACAAAACTCTCTAGTTGACGCGTTTTTATCTCCTTTATTCCGAGGGAAATTGAAGCAATGCGATAAAATACATGTTATGCATTGATTGACATATGATATTGATTTTGAGAGATTTGGATCCATTGAAAAGAAATCACGTATTTGCTCTACTTTGATTGATATCGTTAATGGTGAATAATAGAAAAAGCGGTAAAGAAATTAAAATTCATTAAAGAAAATTATGTACTTATTAGTAAAATTGATGAAATTGATTACACACAATAATGGGAGGTGACGAGAAATGTTTTTACTTCAAATTATCTCAATCCATTTAAGTGTCATAAAATGCATTTAGATTAAAATAATGAGTGACATTATGAGTCCAAAACTTCTTTGCCAATTCCTCAGTTAAGAAATGCATGTCTTTTTAAATAAAGGATTAATTTATTTTTAATAAAAGATTGCGGTATGTTTTATTGGGAAAAATAAAATTAGGAAAAGATTTTTTCAATAAGAAAAAAAGAAAAATTGAAAGCTTATTTCTGTCCTACAAAAAATTACTTCGTTATATATATAAATATGTTTGCAACAAAGATGGACAAACTTTTTTGAGCAAAAATATTTTCAGTAGAGAATAGAGTAGAAAACTTTTCGCTTGAAGTGAAAACGCTTTTATCTTTGCAATTCAACTTTTCAACAATGTTTTAAAGCGTTTCAACTTTTGGAGCACCAGAAGCTTTAAATCTCTTTTTTTTCGACGAAATTACTCTCGCTCTTTCGAAAAACACGATTTGATAATTTCGCACATGATCGCAATCGTTCATACGTGATTCACAAATAGCAATCTACAATCTGTAACTCGAGTTGCTTGAAATATCGCCAGTCCCTGTACGTGATCGTTGTGAATGCACCTTAGATTATCTCAGGTTCGTGCACGCATATATGTATATACATACATATAAACACACACAGATGTATGTGCAAGGTTGGCGTGCGGTGAAGAAGACGAGAAAAGTTGCGCTTTTGGCAAGCCACGTTTCGGGTCTTGCTCCGGACAGCTCAGACAGACATTACATTATAAAAAGACCGGCGCGTTACTATTTTTCCGGGAAGTCTTGCGAAATTTTAAAATGACGCCGTGGAAAAATATCATCGTCAGCTGTCGCGCAAAGTTTTACGTTCCTTTGCTTCGGAAAAATGTCCGAGAGAATAAAAAGACCGGTGGTTTCCTCCGACGACACTCTTCAAGATCTCGTGGTATGAGTGCATATGCGTGTGCATGTCTTGATTAACGCGTGAACGCGCCGAAACGTGCCGTGACGCGGTCGAGTGTAAAAACTGTCAGGCCGCGTCTCCTATTAAATCGTCGAGAAATTGACGTTGCTCGCTTCGAAAACAGGAACGAGTCATTTCGCAGGCGACACTTTCCAACGTCGCGCGCGAGCTGGGCCTTATGCGTGCACAACACGTGCAGCCAGGTGCATATAGCCTCGAACCCTGTCCTTCGTCCGCCAATTTTTTTTATTTTAATTCGAGTCTTTCCTTTAAATGAAAGAACGTCATTTGTATCATTACATTTTTTTTTCGTGTTTTTAACGTTTTTCCCTCGTTTAAATTATATATTATTTCTAAAATTATATATATATATATTATAATACATTGTTTGTCAAATTATATATAATTTATGATATATAAATTAAATATATACATGGAGAGAGAATTCTCTCTAGAATTTACCCTGAAAATCATGGTAATTTTTCTGATTAAAATTTAACACGATAAGAAAATATTTATATTTTATTGTAGCAAATATTAATATTTTTTTATTGCGGTACATATTAATCAGAGACTCAAAATTTTTCCAATACCATATTGTCCCACGATTATCTCTCTGTGTATAATTATTTATTTATATAATTAAATGTATATAAAATTTAATCTAAATAATTATCGATATAAATAAATAATTATATATAATTCATATTCTAATTAAATATTATAAAACAAAATCTGTATAATATATATAAAAATAATATACATATATATATATTTGAATTTTTAAAATATATATAATATATAATTCTAAAATATATTGATATAATTGCCCTGGAAATATGAAAATTCCAGGTAGTGCATGTAAGAAATTTTTGAAACAGGATGTGGAATGTCTGTTTCAGGTGAGAAAGGTGTGCGGTCGTTCGGAACTGCTGCCTCCGAACGAGGAGAACCCAGCGTCCTCGACTGCAGCTGCGAAATTGTCCGAGTCACCCGGCGAGATGCACGCAGCTGCGTCCTCGTTGTCGTCGTCGTCGTTAACGTTTCGGGCGTACGACGACCTGCTGGAGGGATTGCGCAAGCAAATAGGCAACTTTGTGGCCAGCTTCGAGACGTCCCGCTACTTCTACACGAATATGGCAGACACGATCTGCGAGGAATACCCTCGCAAACATTGCTGGAACGGCGAACGCATCGGAGAGTGAGTGCACACATCATTTCTTTTTCATCATTTTCGTACTCCAGATCTGTCTCCTTTAAGAGGATCAGAGAGATTAATAGCTCGAGCTTATATAAGCTCCGCGTATAGGATCTTGCGCAAATTTGCGAAAGCGTTCAATTGCGTCAGGAATTAAGATTTAACTTTGATTTATAATCGGAGATATTTTTCATAGAGACGTACACACTTTCTTTTCTTTTGACGAGAATAAATTTATCTAGGGAAAACCAATATAAGATATATATATAAAAAATATTTTTCATAATTGAAATTTGTAATTACATTTTTAATTAATTTTTTTCAAAGGGATTATTTATGTTTAAATTAAAAAATAAATTCTAAAACATTAATAGTTTTTTTTTTATATACAGAGTGTATCCAAATAAGTGCGAGACAAATTTTAGATGATTCGTTGTCGAAAATTAAAGGGGGATTTCTTGTATCCCTGAGGAGTTACACTTTTTTAAAGAGGGAAGTAAAAATTAAGTTTTTACTTTTTAAAAAAATATTAATTTTCGACAACGAATCATCTAAAATTTGTCTCGCACTTATTTGGATACACTCTGTAAATAAAAAAAAACTATTTTTTAATTTAAACATAAATAATTCCTTTGAAAAAAATTAATTAAAAATGTAATTACAAATTTCAATTATGAAAAATATTTTTCTCGCGCTAAAGAAAATTATAATAAAAAATGATTACTAAGCATAGCTGCGCCAACAATTGCTCGACGTTATCGCGTGTCAGCTATTGCAGCGAAGAAAAAAGTAATAATAAAAATAATACAAGAGAAAGAAGCGGGGCCGAGTGAACGATGGGGAATAAATGGGCGCGCGATTCGTTAATCGAGAAACCGCCGTCAAAATCGGAATGCGTGGGAACGATCGTGACGCGAAAGCGGGAACGACGAAGGAGCAATTCGGGAGAATGGAACGCGAAGGTAGGTTCCCTCGCACCCTTATTAATCAGCGAGGCCGGGTGGCCTCGTCTTAAAGTGCCCCTCACACCGAGAGTGCTCTCTCTCTCTTCATTTCTCGCGACAGCCTCCTTAGAGTCCAGATCGACCGATCGATCCTCGAATTTACGGCCGCGTTTCCTTTGCCATTTTGACCGATCGTCGACCTAATCGAGACGCCGTCGCCTTGCTTAATTAAATCTATACCGAGTGGCGATTCGAGAAGAAGAAGAAGACGGGCGTTTTCTCCTTTATCAGCCATTGTTCGAGATGCTGCTACTCGACCGTGAAATGAGAATAGCGTTGAAATCGGTGATATAATATATATCCGATCGCGCGGAAGATATATCCTTCGGAAGATAATTGAACGAGTATCAATTGAAACGCTCGAAGGAAATGAAGAATAATAATTCGTCCAAACTTTGAGCTCCCGCTCTGCCTGCGGGTACTTTACCAAATACGTATAATCAAATATGACACTTTTCCCAAATAAACGTGGAAAGAGGAAATTGTCGCGATAGGCGTGCGGAAATGACCTTTCGAATTTTTTAATATAATTTGTAAAAGCTCTTTAGAAAATTTTAATCTACAAATAAAAAGGCGATAAGAGCTATACATAAGTTCTATACTAGAAATATATTTGTGAAAAGATTTATAACATAAATTATTCAAAATTATACAGAAGTAAGTTCAATTCGACGTTACGTTTCGGTTGTCTTTTCCAACCTTCTTCAGCGCATCAATTAATAATTAAAATATTAGTATAAATTAACAATAAATTATTCATCAATGTCGTTATAATAAAAATAAAAATGTCCGGAGTCAAGTTAATATGCGAATTTTTAAACAAAATGAGACCTCTTGCTCTCGTCGAGAGAAAAATTTCTCCCTTCGCCTCTCTATTCCGTGTAGGAAGACCTCATGTCTCAAATACACATCGGTGCACCAGAAAGAAAGAGAGAGAGAGAGAGAGGGATACGCGAAGGAATCTCGCGCGGATGCAATTTTCTCTCTGCAGCTGCCAGCCGCTCTCTCTATCGCGCGCGCGAAAGATAGGATAGCGGCGATAACGTATTCTCGGCAGACGCGACTGTTAAATCTCTCGAAATCCAGGTTTACTCGAGCTGACGACGCCAAGTTCCGCGCGGTCACCGCGCTCGGTATGCACAGACGCACACGAGCTTATAAATACACGCGCGCGCCGTTCGCGTGCCACGGCTTCTTCCACCGGAAGAGCCTCTTTCTCAGGCAGCGTACACAGAGTATAATATAGTATCTCACGGTGGAAATCTAAATGAGATTCGATCCGTCTCGGGGAAGCCGTCGCGATTCCGCACGATTCGATCCGGAGCGGAAAGTGAAGCCTCTCTTCTCCTCTTTTTGCTCGATCGAGCTCGCCGATCCGGGGGTAATTTGATTCTACACGAGGGGTTGATTGAAAAAGCCTCTCCCGTAATATTTAGGATCTGCCTGGTTATTTTCAGGAATTAATTATTCTCGCGCGCGCGCGTTACGTAATGACGAATTTCATTAACTTTGGACATTCACGGGGATGAAGTGAATTAATTGAGATGTAATAATACATTTTAATTGGACTCTCCCCGATAATTGTCACAGATGAGATACGTCGCGTTTTAATACACGCTGTTTGCGAAATCATCGTTGAAAAGGATATAATAGATTTACGTAAGAATGTTGCAGAAAATTATAATTAATTTTCAATTAAACAAAATGTCAAAGTGCGATTCGGAGCAAAATATCTTCATCGATCGATAAAGAGTTATCTTTGTAGCACTTGTATCTATAACAAACCTTTTCATCTAGAAAAATTTTAAAACCGTAAGAAAGACGTAGAAGAAGGGTGAGAAAAAAAATATAAAGAAAACTATTTGCGAAATCATCCTTGAAAAGGGCATAATAGATTTACATAAGAATGATGAGGAGGATGTCATAAAAAAAAATATAATTTAATTTTCAATTAAACAAAATGTCAAAGTGCGATTCGGAGCAAAATATCTTCGCCGATCGATAGAGTCATCTTTATAGCACTTGATGTATCTACAATAAACATTTTCACCTAGAAAAATATTATAAAACCGAGAAGAGGGGTGAGAAAGTTTAAAGAAAAAAAAATATAAAGAAAACTTGGTGGTTTCCTTCCAAAAAGTCCGTATCTTCGCGAAGACGATGTCATCGCAAACGGTATACGCAAAAGGGAAAGAGAGAACCGCGTGCGCGAACGAAAGAGATCAATGCTAAAGAGGAAGAGAACGACAAGGAGGCTATAAGACGCGGGGTGAGGAAGCGAGGGGGAGGGGAGGGGATGAAACGAGGGGAGGAAACGGCGGCGTAGCCTGTAGGACGCCAAGCCGCCAAAGAGTCTGGCAACGAGAGCAAACGGGCGCCGTAACGTCGCCGAGTACCTGAGTGCACTCGTGTGAGTGCGCGCACACAAACCCGCGCACTCGCACTCGGGGATAATATGCGCGCACACACTCATTTATATATACGCTTGTGTTCGCGATGCGTCGACTGAACGAAGGAAGGAACGAACGACGACGCAGCCAAACATCTCAGCCACGAGGTCACGATGTCGCAAGATCATCCGCCCTGCTATTTCTCGCCGCTTTGCTGGCCGCTCTTGGACGCGATGCCCGTCGTCCGAGAGTTGATCGCTCCAACGAGTTCACATTTCGCAGCATCAAGCGAGATTAGGCCTCGTTAGCCTTGATTTCGCACGAGACAATTAAGGAATTTAAAAGGGATGCTAAGTCTAGCTGTTTTTCAACATTTCACTCGTTTTTAGCTGTACAGAAGGAAAAATCGTTTTCTAAAATTATAGTCTTCGTAATAACAAATCTGGGCTGCTATATATGTATGTACAAAAATTAAGAAAGTTAATCTAACCTAACCGATAAGGAAACTGTGATTATTTAACTCTCTTAAAGGAGTTAAAAGATAAAATTATTTATCCCTTAAGGGGGTGCTGACTCTTGAAGCGTCGGTGTCTTTGACACCGAGTATCTTTAAGAAATACTATGTTGAACAGCTTTCCCTTACTTAAAACTCCTGGTTCCTCGCCGACCATGTTACAATTGTGACGTCAGAGACGAGAAAACACGCTAAAAATGCTTAGATGCCATTTAGAAATAATAAAAAGATATTGCGATAAAACTGCACTTCAGATGACTTTAGCAGGCGCTTAAAATATCTCGAAAACTATTTCTTTTCCCTTCATTATCAATCAACAACTGTAAAATGACTGTAATATGAGGCCCAATCCATCTGCTCTTTGCACATGCGCAATTATTTCGCGTGACGAAATGTGATATCACGATTTAATCATCATTTTACGATTGTTGGTTGAATGTTAAAGAAAAAAAATAGTTTTACAAGTATTTTAAAAGTGTGCTTAAGCCATCTGAAGTATCTTTTCATTTAAAAATGGCATCTAACAATAAGAATTTGTTCGCCGCGGCGAGGATCCAGGAGCTTTAACTTTCTTGGGTTCTTTATATATATCCCAGATTTGTTATTATGAACACTTGAATTCTAGTAAAGGATTTTTCATTCTGTACAGCCAATAAATAGTTAAATGAAAATAATATTTGCCAATGAAGCAGACACACAGAGTCAGCATATTTTTCCTAATTATTATGTGGGACAGCTTTCCTTTACTAGAAAAAAAATCATACAGATTCACCCGATAATTGCCAATATGATGTCGATAATGCCGATACGTCATCGTGAAAATACCTGTGGCGACCTGTTAACGCGTGCGTTTAATTAAACGCACATAGGAACATTTAATCCGATTAATTCCCGTTCGCGAGAGAGAGCGCGCGAAAGAACGAGGCATATCGGGGCCGTTCCACGCGCTTCGCGTCGATTCGATCGAGGTGATGAACCGCGGAACCTGATATCTGAATCGCGAGCTGTGAAACCGTATATCGTCCGTGCCCGATACGACCGGAAGGAGAACGCCTTGCATCGCCTCGCCTAACTTGGCTTATAGCTTAACTTCGC